ATGAAAAGGAAAGAACATTTTGGAAAACATTACGAAAAATAGGTGTTTTTAAGGCAAACTTATTTCAACAGCCCCCAAGGTTGTTTTAAAGAATTGTGCGTATTCGTCCGAAATATGTGCGAATATGTAGACTTAATTTTATCAGAGATCACTGGAGGACATTTGAAATTAAATTAATTAAATGAAATCGCACAGAAAGATGGAAGGACCAAACCGCAGAGTAAACCCGAAAACAGCTGCTGAAAGTTCTTCCCCAACCTCAGAATAAACAAAAAGAATCGTATAGTACTCGTATCGTATAATTAAATACGTTCCGAGTATTCTATTGCGGGGGAGTCCGGACAAAGCGAACAAAACCACGGCCAAGCTCAAGCCAAAAAACTCGCTTCTGGGGGGTCGGCTCGGCAAGGGAGAAAACTTTGTTGCAATTATGAAATTTCAGACATTTTGATGTACACACACACATACACGTACCCACTGCACTACTCAGAGCCCTCGTGTAAAACACCATTTCCCCTTCTGCATCGTGTCTCCTTTGTTGTCCACAATATGATGGCTGGCCAGGAACGTTGTTTGGCTTGGAGAACATGAGACGAGTGTCCATGATATGGGAATACTCAGAATGGAACATGTAAATGTTTCTGGCTGGGGAGGTTTCTAGCCTGGCCTGGGGGTTTTTTCAGGGGTCGGGCTTCAATTAAATTGTGTGGAAATCAAATTGCGCTTTTGATTATGAAATCAGATCCTTTTTTGCCATGAAAACTTTTGGATGGGATGGCAAAGTGCAGATTTCAGTGGGCAAAACATTAATTAAAATTCGATAATTGCTGAGGTTTGAGTCAGCTTTTTTTCACTCTAGCTTATTGATCGTTCTGTAAACAGCGTTAACGTTCAAAATTTTGTTATTAAATTTGTTGGGAATGGAAGGGATTAAAGATAGCATTTTATAATCTTAATTAAATTATTTTCCAAATGATTTTGTCTTCATTTGTTAAAGTCACACATAGAACGTACGTATGTACATATGTAAGTGCACGATTATTTCTTATTACTGTAACAATTTTCCTCTCGGCTTAAAATATTTGAGATACAGTCGATAAATATGTATCGATGCCATTACTTCCACTCCGACCATGAACAGCCCCTCCCTGGCTTTCTTTTGCCCTGAAACAAAACGCTATGCAAGAAGAAATCATTTCAGTCAATAATCAATATGAACATATAGTAAAAACAAAACACAACTTGCAGCTCTTTTCCATTTAAATTTAAATATAATTGTAAATTATAATATTTATATATAATATATTAATATAATATAATATATAATATATATGTATAATTATAATATAATATATAATTTTCCCGCTGCTTTAGTATTTGAACATGCCAAAGAGATCTGTAAGCAACTTGTTTTAAAATTAGTCACCCGGTAGAGGCGCTTTAACTGAAAATTCCAATAACCCATAAAACTTAATTGAATGCATGAATATAAATTCCCTTAGAATTGTAATTGAAAGTACATTTCTCTGCTGCACTTTCCCCCCACCCCCTTCGGCCCATGGCCCCTAGATCACTGTATGTAACAACCGACTGACAAATAGAACAACAATAATGAAAAACGAAGAGTGGGGCTGCCATGGTCCGGGGAGCAACCAACCACATAGCATCAATTATAAATGCACTCGATAAATTATTTCCAAGTATTAACTTGGCTTTCCGGCACTTCAACAGCAGCAGCATCTGGCCAGGTGGGGAAGCACACACACCACACACACACATGCTATTTATGCGCACACATACGAATACCAGTACGAGCATGTATGTAAGCTTAAGCTACCTTTCATGTATTTACGAAATAATTTTTTTTTGCTTAAGTTTGAAGCAAGTTTTTCATCGTAAACTACGAGTACTCGAAGACTGGAAGCTCTCTTTCTTGAGCTTTGCTTAAGTATTTGTGCGGGGACTTGGCCATATTCGTGCTCGTGTTGGTGTTAAGCACTTCCGCCTGGCTGCTCGGCTCCTGCCCTGCCCGACATGCGTTTCCCGGTCGCGTGGCAGAAGTCTACCTCGAGACCTCTGTGGCTTCCACCTGCACTTGCACCTTTTGGCTTCTGACAGTTCTCACTCTATGTTTCCTCTCTCTCTCCGTCTCCGTCTCCGTCCCTCTCTTTGCTCTTTGCTCTGTTTGATTTTTCATTAAGTTCTCCGTTGAAGTACCAGCGTAAGTCACTTCTTTTTTCTTTTTCCTGGGTATCGTTAGTAAGAATTATTTTCAATTAGCCAGAAACATGACTGCGGAGCAGGAAAATTGATGGGAAACAGTTTTCCGTTTAGCTATTTTCCTTGAACTCAGACATACGCGCTCGCCATTTTCCTTTTTTTTTCTTTAATACAAAATTCCATGCAGCTAGTGGCTTTCGGACACGGCACCATTGGGGATTATAATGCTACACCAATCGCCACAGCAAATATCGAAGATGTGTTTTCTGGATTCGAGATTCATATACTAGTAATGCAAATATTATTTATGTATATACTATGTGTATTGTTTGTGATAAATAGCCCAATAGCCCATAAGCCGAATACTAAAATTATTATACATCGACGCAACAGAAGTATGTCGGATCAGCTGTAGCAGCAGGCGAAAGGTCAAATCAGATACATATATATTATATATAAATTACTTTACATGGTGCCATTTTTCCAACTGTACCACTGGTGTCCAAAAACTTGTTGCATAGTGCTGCATATTGACTATTGCTCTGATTAAATGTTTTTATAATTCTCACACAAATTATTTACACACTTTTGCTGTGAATATAATTATTGAACCGCTTTATTTGCCGAAACTGTTTATTAAAACTATTGAACACACATCTCATCTCATTTGAAATACATGATGAGCGAATATGAAAATACTATTTCCAATATCAATTAATTTAAGGTTAATCAACATTGAACTTATTTTTTTTTCCATTGGAAACCCGTTTTTGCTGGTCCAAACCTCAGTTCGATTCGATTACCTAACTACCCGAAAGTAGGCAGCACTTTATGGAGCAGCACACTACCCCCAGTGCACTGCAGTGGGAAAACCTTTGTCGCAGCTGACAAGCCAGTGGTCTGGTTGTAGTTTTTGTTTGTTCCCCAAACAATTGCATAACAATGCGGTGGGCGTGTGAAGAATCCAGGCCCTTAACTTAAGCCTAACTGGGAAAAAAGGAAACCGAACACAAACTTTACCCATTTGCTCATTCAAATGCAAATCTGGGCGCAAATCTTCAAATGACTTCGATTGGTTTTCTGGTTTCGGCTTTTGTTTGTGGGAAGGATTCTGCCCCGGGGCCTCCGGCGGACAAAGAACACAGCAGTCTTTGGAGCACTCCTAATCAGAGTTCAGGGCAAACATGTAAATGCATTAGAACAATGGTGACCACAGCATTTTAACGAATTTCCCAAACCGAATTGAGGAGAAATTTAATTTGGTGGCAAGAGTCCGAGAGTGCCGAGAGTGTGTGTGTCCCTTGTTCTCTGCTACCGGATAGAAACTTTATGAGCGAAGGTTCCATTTCGATTTGCATTTCTGTGAGAACTCGATTTCCGCTTGGTCAAGTGACATGATTGATACTCTCGGGCGTCTGGTGTCTGGCGTCTGGCGTCTGAATGATTCCTGGGGATTGCCAAGCCTGTTGCCTCGGGCCGGAGCGGGGCGTAAAAACAACACCAGGAGCTTTGACACGCCGGAGCGAGCAGCAGGAGACGGCGACACAGACACGACCACAATCGGAGCAAGGACATGCAACCAAGCCAGGAGAACCATGTATGAGGTGGCGACTTTGGGGAGTAGACAGATTTGATATATGGAACGGGCGACATCAAGCAGCCGACACATTGCAGCCCACAAAACATTGTAAAATGATTTTCGATTCTAGCCCCAGCAGAGGCTTAAGAAAATCGTGAGCTTTTCCCAGAGTACATAGAGCCAGTCGCAACGGCTCCTAAAGCCTCGCAGAGACTCTGGGAACTTATGAACCAGAAAAAGATGCATATGTGAATGCCACTGAAGTCTCACAAGTCTTATGTTGAGGTACATACATACAATATGTATGCAATAATGACTGAGTGGGATCAAGAGGCACATGATGGTGAAAGAGGTATTTGATTAATACACATTAACAGACATTACGGGGGACTCTGCAAAAAAAAACTCGAGGTACTCGTAGTGTTCGAAACTATAATAGCAATCTTGACTCGCTCTAAACTGATGTTAGATACTCAATACAAACCATTTTTGTGTACGCAATTGGTCTGTGTATATTTTGTATGGTTTTCAGTTCGGACAAAGGCTGTGGCAGCTTCGGCCTGGGTGCCACAAGTTGTATGCGTTTGTTTGTTTGTTCTGCTGGTTTCGGGCTCAGACTGCAAACAATTAAGTTTGCATCTGTGGAATGACACTTTTATTTCCTTGTGGCTGGCCAGGCACACCCAAAAAAGTGGGGCAGACACGCACGTACAAACATGTGCACTGCCGATGTCAGTGGCAATTTCAGTTTTTTGGCAACTCCACACACTTGGAATGGCCTATCCCCTGCCCGCGGCTGTCAGTTGCAATGGAGACTTGAATAAAATGTACTTGCCATAAATTTCCCACAGCTCCATAGAGATATGTATATTATCTGTACACAAGGCAGCTCCTGTTTTTTGGCAAGCCACAAGGCACTTGTCCGATTTAAATATTTAATCTGATTTCATGTTTCAATGCGTTGCATGCTAAACTACAATAATGCCGACCATATGTACGTAGGAGCAGCAGAGTGTCCTCAAACTAAATTTTCCACAACTTTACATTGGCGTTGCATCTCACTTTAAGTGTCTTTCAGCACTTTAATTGCACTTAAAACACTCAACTGTTTCAACGTTTCAACGTGCTGGGAGTTAAGCAGATTCTTAGGAAATTATGGCTGAGCAAATGTGCAATTACTGCAGTATTTCATTGTGGTGTCATTTTTGTGGTAATTGTGTTAATTTATTTGCCATTTTATTTTGATGATTATGGTAACTTTGGTTTTTCCTCTAGAATGCACAGCAACAAGATAAGTCAAGAATTAGCCAAAACATTTGATTCCAATATAAGTGTTTTAAGAACATTTTAAAACTAAATTAAATCTAGGTCTATCGCGACGATTTTACTCACCGTTCACATAAAATTTAAGCTGGGCTCGATACCAGTATATTAATCATTTCAATTAACATAATATATGTATGTAATATTATAATATTATATTTAAGCATGGAACTTGAATATTTTCGTCATTTAATAGATATCTGATATTATTTAATTGTCATTTAAAAGTCTTGCGATGATTTTTTGCTAATATGTGTACTAATATGTATAACTGCTCTAATTAGATACTAGATACTATTCAAAAGGTAAGCCTCGAATTCCCTATCCCTATCTAGATCATAGCAAAAGCGGCTCCCTCCTACCCTACAACTCTCCATCATCGGACCTCTTCATAACCTCTACCATTCCATCGTAGAGCAGGCTGTTGACGTCATTCGCCCAAATGAAATCAACGTGATTGAACTTCTCGTAAGGAATCAGGCCGTCGTGAACCACATTGGGCAGCGCGTCGCGCAGACGCTCCACATCCCTGACGGCGGTAAGGAGATCGTTCTTGCTGTAGTACAGGGCCACCTTACAGTCGACATTGGCCAGGTTATACTGCGGTGGGGTGTCGGAGCCGTGGCGGCGCCGATTCTCCACAGTACTGTAGTAGTCGTACTTGTAGAAGCCGCCGCTGTGCACCAGCTGGGTATAGTGCCCCAGGGACTTGAGCGAGGAACCAGCGACGTGTCGAACAAATAGCGGCACGAGAGTTGCATTCAATTGCTGGGCATCGACGCCCATCAACTGTAAAAGGAAGTAGTTGCAGGTGTTCCTGAAGGCAAAGCTACAAATCTGATAAAACAGTCGTTGAAACACTTCACCTTCCGGGGGAAAATCGTATATTCCCAGGGCTCTGGCATACAACTGTCAAATATACATAGTAAATGTGGATTATCCTCGAACGAAATATGGTTATAATTACGGTCAAAGGTCGGACGTATTTCGATGCAAACAAGACAAAGGGTGACTCAACGTAATCACAAAATACCACCGGGGCCAGAGCCTGCATCAGCTTGATCTTCTTCATGTAGCTGGGTCGCTCACTTCCCATCACCATAAAGGATGTGGTCCCCTGCGAGTGGCCAATGTAGTGGAGCTGTTGGAACCCCTTGGTCACCGCCAGAACATAGTCGATCGTGGCCGGCAGGTCGTACAAGCCGACCTCGTGGAAGGAGAAGTCCCAAAACTGGCGCATATATCGATGGTAACGCTTGTGCTTCCGTGAGTAGCGATTGCCCCGCGTGTTGAGCAACCAAATGTCGTAGCCCAGATCACTTAACCTGTAGGCCAGCGATTTCTTGGGTCCCAGGATGAGGTACCCAACGGAACTGTCCTCCAGGCCATGGACCATCAGAACGGGCTGAGCCCCCGGCTTCGGTATGCGATGGGCTGTGAGCACAAAGCCATCCTTGGTCGTAATTTTGTGTATTTCCGCCTCATAGCCATACTTCCTGATCAGATCTGGCTGAAAAGGAATCGTCGTTAGTGGTCGGAACTTCCACTGAGGCATCATCTCTAATATTTTACCGCCGGCAAATTAGCATCCTCTAAAATGGATTTATCGTATTGGATAATATCTGATGTCACAATATCTATGTGCAAGTAGAGCCAGACCAAAGATCCGTAAAATACTCGTAGCATTAAGTTCCCCCTTCTAGTCATCATTTTATTTGCTTCAATGTTGGTTCTATGGAATTCCCAGCTCCCGGTTGTATGTAAAACCTTCAGTCGGTGCAATTTTCCACATGCACTGTCAACCGCTGTCTCTCTAGCCCGAATGATAGAGTTTGTTTAGACCATAATTAATTGGCCAATCAAGCGCTTGAAGCAAGACAAAATCTATGTCTCTTGACAGTGCATGCGAACAGATCAGTTCAAATTGCACTCGAACTTCAATTTAAATTTGTTCGGAGTTTGTACGAAAATTCAATTGTTTCACTTTAATTATTTATTATTATTTGATTGTCTTATTTTTTTATAAATTACAGTTTACGTAAAAGTTTATTGGAAATTTCACTTCATTCATTTGTGGTCCTATTATATTTACGAGTAAAAATCATTACATGTATTTATTTTTGGGTGTTTAATATCCTTTGCTACACATCCTGTTCTAGTTGGAGAGAATTTACTTTTACGAGTCGTAATGTTTTTTTAAATCAGAACTATTCCCGCTGCGCGATCGACTGCCACTGATCACTGGCATCCAGTCGGATGCCTTATTTTATGGCTAATTTTAGTTGGCGAGGCTTATTAAGTCGCTTCCCTCCTTGACCCGGTTGCATTGCCTTGCATTGACTACTCACGACAATCAGGGCAATTAATATGCATAATATTGTAAACTGTTATTGTTTAGAATGTATTAAACAAGTTTTTATTGCCGCTCAATGGTAACTAGAAGTGGAAATAGAACAAACTAACAGGGCGGATAAGGTCGGGCGAATTTGATGTGAAAGCTGGAAAAATCAAATACTAGTTAGCTATTAAATCACACAAAATTGAACAAATCTGACGCTAATCACAGTTGATATGTTTTGTAATTGAAACTGCTGCTTATACTGAAATTAAGCTATTACCTGTTGTTCTGTTGTCTCTGTTTGCCCAGAGAGTTCTCAGATGTTAACAGACTTTCCTCAGGTTAGCAGTGTAAAATGAATTATTTCTGCTGGAAACTGTTCTCAACAGACATTTTACTCGCTATAACTATGTAGAAAGGGATTTTTCTCACCATTACTCTGTTCCTCGTTTTCCTTTAAATCCTATTATGCGTATAGCTCCTCCCTGAAACAAAGTTGTGAACTAGAGTTGGGTTCTTTGACTGTCGTTTGAATACGATGTTATGTACATTGTACATATATCCAAAACGAAAACTTACAAAAGATAAAATCGCACAACAGCAGGAAAAACACCAACAAAAAAAAGGAATTTGAAAAAAAGGCTAGACCATCCATATTGTCCTGATACAAGTCTAACTCCTTGTGCAGCCTTGCACAGGATATACAAAATATATATTTACACATACAAATTTATTTCTGATGGTCCTTCTGCAATTAAAAATCATATTTTTAGTTTATATAATATTTTTTTTTTATTCTTGGGACGTAGGTTGCTATTTAAGTTTCTGGCCTAATTATGAAAAACACAACTTAGGCGTCTGAAAATGGTTTTATTGTTTTAAACAACATTCTCTAGGAGTAGAAAGTCTTTTTTGAAACATTTGAACCTATTTTCAAAAACAGACAACTTTTTGGGCACTCTTTGTTGCGTAAACCTTTTCACATGGATGTTAAACACATCTTTTAAAGCACCTCGATCGTATTTTTGGAAAATTTTCTATTTTTAAATTTTGCCGGTTTCCACTAAGCTGATCTAAGCATTCTTGGCTTAAAAAGCCACCTCAAATATGGAAGAATATCTTGACAAATACATTTTCATGTCTTAATTTCAATTTTTGCCTGAGATGAATTTTTGATTTATCGTTAATCGATATCAAACGTGGTCGTACATGAAAAAGTTATATGTATGTTTTATTTATAAAACTCCAAACTTTTCTATGCAACTGACCATTTGGTCCCAGTACGACCAGAAGTGACCTAGGCCAGAAACATAAATAGCACCCCTCGTATTCGTATATGTGTGTGTTTAGCATATTTACATAAGTAATCCAAAATAAAGTATATTAAATCCAAATAAATACCTAACTAGCGCTGACACCCACCCTCTTCATACTGTAAGTATTTAAACTAATTTAGCTTATGCTAGGCCACATCGATAGCCCTTCAGATAACAGAGTTCTCTTGACTTCGCATGTTTTCCAGCATTCGATCCCAGAGCAATTCCCTCCCATTGATGGCCCATATGAAGTCCAGGTGGTTGAACTCCGGATCGTCGACCAGATACTTTGTCACGACATTGGGAAGCTTGCTATGCAGCATTTCCACATCTTCGGGAGGCGCCAACCAGTCGTTTTTCCCGTAATAAAGCGCCACCTTGGCCCGGACATTCTCCAGCTTGTATGAGGGGGGGTCTATTGTGCCGTAACGCCAATGGTTCCTCAGCCATCCATAGTCGAACTGTCTGAAGGCCCCAGACCTATTTAGCTGGCCAAAGTGTTGCATTTGCTTGGTAGAAGCTCCGGCCGGGGAGTGGCCCACAATCACCGGGAGCATCGTCTCGTTTAGTTGCAGCTTGTCGAATCCAGTGGTGAGAAAGATCACGTTCGAGCAGATCTCCTTGGTAATGGTTGTCTCGTCGCAAATGATCCGATTGAACATGCTGATGAACTCGTTCTTTGGCAGAAACTCATGCACGCCAATTAGCTTAAGGATCACCTGAAAGAAAGAGTCGAAAAGTGAGTTCTTTGAAGTAGGACTACGAAGAGGAATGTGGATGGGAACAAAAGAAACGTTAAGGCTTGGAAAGATGTCGATTCTACATGTAAATCTTGCTTGTAATATTGATATGGATCAACAATATTACACACACATTTAAGCTATCTTTCCGCAGATCTATTCCCATGCAAAAACTAGCTGTTCTTCGATGGGAATCATAGGAATAGGATGGGGTAACTTACGCTCACCGATAAATGCCACTCGGCCAGGAAGTTGACGACAGGACTCCGGCAATGCTTCAGAAAGGCCACTGGCGCCAAAGCCTGCATAAAAACGATCTTATCCATATACTCGGGTCGCTCACTGGCCATGATCCAGAAGACGACCGAGCCCTGGGAGTGGCCAATGTAGTGCAATTGACTGACCCCCGTGTGGTTGAGTACATAGTCGATTGTGCCTGGTATGTCGTGCTTGCCCATCTCATGGAACGTAAAGTCCCAGAACTTGGCATGGTGAGTGCTGTACTTGACGTGGTTCCTGGAGTACGTGTTGCCGCGGACGTTAGCCATCCAAACATCGTAGCCCTGCTCATAGAGCAAGTATCCTTTGAGGGGGAACAGCTCAATCAGAACGGGATGTGCAATGGAGAGAGCCACAGCTACTTACCCAAGCCTTTGTTGGGTCCCATCATCACCCAAGTAGCCGAACTATCCAGCAGGCCATGCACCAGGAGCACGGGCATTGCTCCGGGACGAGCGATCCTGTGAAGAGTGAGTATGTAGCCGTCGTCTGTCTCCACGGTATGGCTCTCGGCTGGATAGCCATATTTTTGTATCAGATGAACCTGAAAAAAGCGAATTTTAACCCGAGGATCAAGTACCGTACTTGTAAAATATTTTTCTATGTTTAATTGATTGCTAAATTTGCATGATGATAAAAGATCGGATACTTACGGAGACTTTACAGACTATTACAGACTTTATTTTAATTACATTTACATTTTTTAATTTCCAAGTCGGAAGAACACTCGCATTGATCTTTGTCACGTAAAAAAAAAGTCCTCACCTTTCGACTAGACAATAAAATTATAAAATATGAAAATAATATATATAAAAATATAAAAGAGTTTTTGAGTAGTTTTTTTAATCGGAAATAACTGTCAATTGTGTTGCGTAGTGCACTTTAGGCTTGAACATTTTACAATGCTCACATCCATGTCGTCATAACGCCAGTTAATAATAAACACTTTCGACGAAAATATAATGATGATCAAATGATGCTTAAATCCCACCAATCATTCGCAAATCTAACTGTTTAGAAATTGTTTTAGCTTCTGTACAACGTTTCTTTGAGAGTATCTTAATTTACAGTTTAGTTTGTTTGTCATTGCTTACCGTGTCCAAGTGCGAATCTTCCAAAATATTGGGATCCACATCGCTCTCTATCCGCAAGTTACTGTCCCCGACTATCGAGCGCCCCAGCCAGGTGGGGGATTTGAATTGGACATTGAAGAGGGTGAGATTGCCTAGCACCATTGACAAGCCAGCGCTGATCTCCGGCTGGACCAGGCACAGGCATAGGGCGCTGATGAGCAGGTTCGCTGACGACGATAATGACATATCTGTATCTGTATCTGTATGTATCTTTCGGTTCTCTCTCTCGCTCTCTCTATGTATCGATGTGCGGTTAGGATGTGGCTGGCTCTGTTAGCTGCGCTCTGTTCGAGTCACAAGTGTCGACTGACGGCAGTTTCAATTTGCAAGCGACAAAGAAACTTTCTGCGAGAGAGAAATTCGACACTTCCACACTCGATTATGTATATGTCTGTATGTACATCTGTATGTAGTAGGGACCTGGCATGTACTTGTACTTGTTGGTGTATAATAATTTCAATGGAATTGAATCACCAAAACAGAAATATTGGTCAGGTTCGGCGATAACCCCGGTTGGCTGCATTCGTCACTAGCTGATAAGCCGCGACGCAGAGTCCGGCTTGAATCGATCTTGACTTTGACTCCGCTTAGGCACGAGACGTCAGTCCGCCCCTCAACAACAACTGAAGAGGTTTTTTTTGTATTCGATGGGGGGCCTTGGCTGCCTTGCCCAACCAACAAACAAACAAGTCAACATGTTGCCAAGCCAATTGATTTTATAATATTGTTTCTCTCTCTAACTCTCTCGACTTCCCACATATACTATATATGTATAACAATTTGTTGCTAGATGGATGGGACAGAAACGAATTATAGATTACATATATTTATTACAGACACGCTTTTACATATACATATGTTGTATATGTTGTCCATCAACATGTATTATAGGGTATACCCATTGGTCCAGCCTACCCAACACTTGACCCAATAATCATAATCTTGAAAGTGCCCATTCCCAGCTGATTAGAAAATTATAAATAATGTTTAACGAGTGAGTAAATTAATTCTAGTAGAACAAAGTCCCCATCTTAAACTATCAATTAGATTTTCAATGCCTCGAAATAATTTTGCGGGACAGACTGAAAATGAACCAAATTATTTTTTCTGCATAATTCAACAATATAATATCCAGTATCCATATCCAATTGAATTGAAAAAAACCCATTCCTAGTTTTTGATTCTATTCTTAGACTTGAATAGTTTCCACCTTTATCATTTACTCATTGAAGCGGAACCTCCCGCAAACGTATGTACATACGAGTATGTAACTGTCCAGGCCACTCATTAAATTACTCATTTATTGCCCACAAAATAAAAAGATTACTTATTTACTATTTCCTGATCAAAGTTCAATTAACTACGCTAGAGTGGAAGCCGAGTAGGCATTATTTGCTGTCATTAACAAATATGTACATTAGGCTGGGCCAAAATTTTTTTTTCGAATTTCAAATGGGACACCCCCTTGTGTTGTTACCTTCGATTTAATAGTAATTTACATGTTATTACTTTTTTTTTAATTTTTTAGAGGTTACCGAATTTAAAAAAAAAATTTAATTAAGAAAATTAAAAAAAAAATTTTGCTGAATGAGTTGGATAATTGGTGAAATCTATCGCATATATATTGATACCATTCATATCGTCATTAATCAGTTATTGGGAGTAAAAAATCTTCACAAGGTTTTGCAAACTAGTTAACTAAATATATCAACCTCAGCTGAACTTCTTGATTTTCACCAATCGTTAATTTTACAACAGTAACTAAAAAATAAAAATACCTTATTAACAATATGAACTAGTTTCTAAGATTCAATATTGTTTGAAAAAACCGACGAATTCAATTTTTTTTTTATGTATATTTAACCAAAAAAGTGTATTTTCTTTTCGGGTAGCAACCCCCAAACATAAAACTAAAAATTAAAAAAAAAATTGTATAATTTTATTGAACAACAAAGAGAGGGGCCAAGAAAAATAATCAAATTTGTTGGTCAAATTTTGGCCCAGCCTAATGTACATACATACATATATATGTATGTATGTACACAATTTATCAAACTTTGATAGGAGCTTGATAGACGAAAAAGACCCGAGATCGGACACACGAATCGTATTTAATTTTAGAAATATTTTATTTGCTGGCGGTAAACAATAATGCAATAATAGATGAGCCAGAGATATACGAGAAGAGAGGAGAGAAACGCAGCTGGATTGGGAGTCTGCCTTATCGCACTGCACAGCAGGGGGAGTTGAGTGGAGCTAAGCCCGAGCTCGAACCGAGTGTTATTCAATTATTAAGTGCAGCGCTTATTCTGCATTTAACGAGCAAACAAACACATGCCCAGGCCTACCCAGAGATACATATGTACATACATACATATGTATGTATATATATTGTATATGAATGTATGTACATTGTACATTTACGGTGGCGGCAGCTACTGCTGGTCTGCTATAAATCCATATGCAAAATAGCACAAACAATGTGCAGTTCATTAAATGAGCTGTTGAGCATAAATATATAAATTTATGCATGTTATTCCCCCTCGAACTCCCCCCATCAACCTCTGCAATGTCAGCCGGTTCGTTCGAACGGACGACTGCATTATCATATGAAGAGCGTTTCAGCATGAAACTCGTTTTCGGGTCTAGCAACATGCTGCCACCCATAGATGTTGCTGAGAGCTAATCAAACTCCCTTCTGGACCATCCGATGACATTTGGAATAGGTTTTCACATTATTTACACTGCGGTTAGTTTTTAGGGAGGGCAATCGAATGCAAATATCCGAATTCCCAAGCTAACCACTCGATTCGATGACATTTTTAGCCTTTGAATAGCCCTCTGGGTCGTTGGGAGCCGTCACCGCAGGCCGCAAACAATCGACTGACGCAAAGAGTGGCATATTGACTCCAAAAGTTAGATTCAAACTTTTAATAGTTCCGAAAGTTCAAAGCAGAAGAGAGGGAAGAGGACGAACTGGTAACATTTTTGCGAAATATTTCTTTGAAAATAAGTAAAATTGAAGGAATAGGTGAGCTGAGCCCGAGAGTCGTGATATCATAAACGTCAATGGGATTTTTACATGTTTGCTGCCGATAAAAAACGCAGCAGATTCATATTTCCCGATAATATAAGTAGGTAGTTAATAAATTCAAATTGGAAATACTCAAGTCTACTATTCAAAAGCCGATGTTCAGACAGCATTTAAAGTTTTAAGTATTTAAAAGTTACATCAAATCTTTACCGAGTTACAAAAAAATACTTTTGAAGTGTGGACAGCACAGACTTGAGGAATCGAACTCTAGGAGACCGACTCACCGACTCAGACGTTTCTTTATTTTGGTATTTTTAAATACACCTATAAAATCTCACATTGTAGCAACAAGTTGGTTCTTAACTTTAATGTACAATACTTTAAGAAGGAGAAGTTTCGAAGTAAAATACCGGAAAATCGGCCACTTGAAAGCAATGAAAGAGCGACCTACTAAACACAAGAAATCAATGTGAGATTGCCAAAAAATGCGGGCGTCTGAACCCCTGGGAATCAGTAGGGTGAAGGAGCTCCCCCACGAGAAGACAAAATATTGCAAATATTCGAGTCTGAGCCGTAAGTGCTCAGTGTGTCAATGTGGCAAATGTATCTGTGTATCTTCACCTCGTTGCTAACCCTCTGAACACGTACTCGACGCCCGGCACTCGTTGCTCGGATCAATTTCCAGAACAAGATTTATGCGCTTGCCAAAAAGGGGCCATAAAATATTTATTGTTTTCGAGTTGCACGGCCCTGATAAGCGGCAGCAGCATCCCGATAAGCATGAGGGCAGCAGAACAAAGAGCAACAGGAACAAGGGGCTAAGTAGCCCGTACCAGGACCCGGCTCCTTATCCTGTAATGCGATACGAGTTGGGTGAGCAGGGCAGAGCCGTGAAATATTACCTTTAAATAAGAATTTATTTTCATGCTAAATTCGAAATTAAAATGAGAACACGCTGCATATCCCTTCTATCCCTTGAGTACAACGGAGAGCACAGAAATCAATTTCCATTACAAAAGACCAATCAAAGAAGAAAGCATTTTCGGACTTGAAATCTTTATAATCAGGAGGCACGTAGTTCAGTGCAATTATATGTGCTTCAAGTTGATGACTTTCTAAAGGTAATAACATTGTTCCAGTGTCTTTCATGAATCCACATGAAATGAACCATTTGAAAACATTACATTTAAGATGTTTCATTGCTTCAGTATTTGTGCAAGTGCACAACAAATATTTTATAGAGATTCGCTGAAATTTTAAACATACCTACAATGTATGTAATTTCCGGTTGTTCCAGACTTTACTTTTTAAAGCTGCCGAAGAGTCACAGCAAAAATATTTATAACTAAACTTAAACTTAAACTTAAACTTAAACATTTTGCATTCGGTACTGTATACGGATAATTGAATGTTATTACGTTCATTTTTATCTAGGCTGAAAAAGTAAAAGCTAATTAATGTATAAGCTAACTTTTTGTTTATAGAAATCAGTAAACAAACTGACTTTGATTTCAGCATGTTCCAATTGGCTTATTCTAAGCTAAATCCCAACAAGTATTTAAGATTATAAAACTCTATTGAAAGCAATCCCTTTTTAATGACCAATCCCGGGAATCCTTTGTTCTTTATAGCCTCGTTCAGCTATCATATAAATTATTCAGGTAACTGCTCTCTTTTCACAACGTATACATTTCCGCGCATACATATGTACATACATATGTATTTGTACATATATGCTATTCAAATTTTCAATTCCGATTCAATGTGTCTGTGCTTAACTTAACCCTTCAGGGGCCGCAACATCTGCAGCGATTTATACAAATAATTAACTGTCAACTGCAGGCAGCAGTCAGCAGTCAGCAGGCGGAATTTTCCGCATTCCTTCCCCTTCCGGCTAAGCGACACCTTGAGGGATCAGCAACAACAGGAGCCACTACCACTACCACTCCCGACTCAACTCAGTTGAAATTATAGGCAATTTTCGCCGGCATTCCGAAAAATGTGAAAAATGAAAAATATAAATAAATGTTGATGATTGTTTGGCAGCATGGAGGCAGCTAGAGTGACGGAGGGCACAGGGTGATTTATAAAAATGTGCGAGAAAAATGATTTTTGCACGCCTCAGAGCAGTTGACAGGCTCAACCATCAGCCATCATCCAGGAGCCGTGAGCCCTGAGCCATCATCCACTGCTGCTCCTCTCGACTGCCGAAGTCATTAACTCGACAAACCGCGTCGCCGTCAGCAGAGCAGCCAGGGATGGCAGGCGGGACTCGTGAGATTTGACATT